GATGAAAATTCTATTTGAGAATATTTTAAATTTGGTGAATAAAGTAATTGTAAATGACTTAGAATAATTTCTAATAAATGATAAGTACATAAACGTTGTGTAATATAAGAATTTATATTTGTAGTTTTTATCCATTTCATAAAACAATTTAATGTTTCATGAAGATAAAACATTCGATCATGATGTGTTAAATTTGTTTTAAGTTTTAGAAAATGAATTGATGTAATAGAATTTTTGAGATAATTTTCTATGGATAAATAAATACCTTCATCAAAATAAAGAACTAAACCAAGAAAAATAACAAATGATAATGAACGAGAAAGTATCGATTCATCTTGAATACTAAATAATGGTATATGTGATGAAAGATGTGTTTGTTCATATGAAAGAAGTTTTTCAAGAAGAGTTAAATGAATTTGTAAATAACGATAATATGCTGGTTGATCATTGTTTAGTGATATGTTTAAATCAAGTGAAGTACTAGTTTCTAGAAAACGTTCACAAGCATTGGAAAAGATTAGATTAATAGTTAAAATTTGTTGTTGTTCTTCGTCTTGAGCAGAAACTACAACGAGAAAAATTCATTAAATTGAACAATTTGTTAATTTAGTTTACTTTTCACTGTTGATATTGGTTTCATTAAATCATCTAAAAGTGATAATACTTGACGATGATCGAATGTCATTTTAACTGATATGTGAATCTAATAAGAACTAACAGTTAATGTTAAAAATAATAGTTTCAATGATCGTTGATCATTTATAGAAATCAGATATTAATAATTCGTGGATTTCCAAAACAATCCATTAAGAATCTATATACATTTAGTGAGGACGCCACATACCTACACACTTTTTTTTTGACAATTCTTGAGTGGGTGGGTATGAATAAAAAGATAAATGCAGATTCACACTCACCCTTCCTATACGCGGAAGTCCTCAAAAAAAATTTGCTTAGAATATTCATAGTTGTCTGAATGCATATTTATAAGCAGAGATGGTTGTGAATGTTGATTTTTTCAGTATATATGTAAATTATTCTAAAATTTTGCTCTCTTATATTACACGCACTATCTATAAGATGTCACAGAATGAATAATCGGTAAAAGATAATGGAAAGTTTACTAACTGTATATATTAGCAATTAACTCTCGATAGAAATGAATACTGAATCATATCGGATATGTTAACATCTTAAATAAATGTTAGAAAAAGATTCATTAAATTCGAATTTTTTTATTTATATTTGAACAAAAAAAGTAAAATTAACAATCCTGACGAACGGTTGATTATTAATTTAAAATACAAATTTAATGAAAACTATATTTTCATTTGTTCACCAATTGTAATGGTATTCAAAGTTAGACGGCGTATGACTAATGTCAAAATAGGAGTAGTATGGAACAACTGATTAACTACCTCCTCCACAACCACCTCCACCACCACAACCGCCTCCACCACCACAACTGCTTCCACCACCGTGATGACCGCCTCCTCCGCCACCGTGATGACCGCTTCCTCCACTGTGATGATGACCACCGGTCGAATTTGAAGAGCCGTATGCATATAGACCATATTCAGGTTGTGGACGTGGATAATGGTGAAAGCGCCTTCTTTGATTTTGAGGAGCGTTGAAAAGACCGCTAAGCCAACTAAACATTTTTTTGTTTTATTTGATGTAAATAATAATAGCAAGATGTTTTATATATTGGTGAAGACTAACTGTGTGGGATCTGATGACGCTGTTATATACCTCATTGTTTCTCATCGCCTCAAATAGAATATACGATAAGTAATGACGTTACTATTCACGTGTTGTACAAGTAACATATAGAAATAGAGCGATAAAGATTCAGTTTGTTTACCTATTCAGTCATATTCACTAACGAATAGAATCTCATTAAAATACAAAACAAGAAGCTATTCTTACGTAAATGCCTCCTATATTTAACTGTCAACATGATCGGTTAAACCTATTTTATCGTGAAACTTCTTTTTCTTCTAAACAATCTGTAACATTAATAATTAAGAAAAAAACTGATATTCGAATATGATGCATCGATGAGTCAACGTCTCTGAAGATAGTCATACAAAGAAGAAAAACGAATCATAATTTATCATTTTGAAACATCCCTATAGATTCTTCTACTGTATAGCTTGCACATCAATATTATTGAAATATACAAGTATTATCAAAGATTAGTTTCATATGATTTACAGTCTGTGACAAAAGTTTAAGCGAACATATTTTTATACTCTTTTCGATAATCCTGGGTATTTAAATTAAATCCAACTAGTGGTTTTAATAGCTCATGGAGTGCACTATATAATGCATAGTGCGCGAAGATTCCATAGATGATGTATGTTGAAAACATCTCTGATAATCGAACACAGTAGTTTTTAGGTCCTGTAAAAGTTTATTGGAGATACTTTTCAATATTATCATCTTATAGAGCGTAAAATTCTGAACAAAATGAGAGGTCGCCGCCTCTTCTACGACCTTTCTATAAAAATTTACAAGCATCACAAAAACCGAAAAAAGTCGGTTTTTAGCCGATTTTCAGCTATTTTTTGAAAAATTTCGCTTTCATAATAACGACATGAGAAATGATCACTAGTTAAGCAGGAAGAAAATTTACATTTATACTCGATATTATTTCCATTATTCTATTATTTATAACTAAAATGATTCATATGACGTTTTGTCAGCAGAATATTGTATTGTTATCTTATCATGATGTAAACACTTCAACATACGAATAAAAATAACTGGGAATAAATGAGCTGGGAAACACATAATTTTATAAGTCGTGTTTAAAAATAAAAAGATATTTGGCTTTTTACTGTAGTTGTCGTTATAGATATTGTTTTATAGAAAAATCGATATGCCAATTATTATTACATTACAGAAGTTTATTTATCTTTCTTCTACCCAGAGAGGGAAAAAAGTGAAAAAATTGTCGCATGGCAATGCACATTTTAACGTAGAAAGAGGAAAATTTTATTCGTTTGAATGTAAGTCTATAACTTAAGCGTTAGTTGATTGTAGATAAACTGAAATCATTAAATAACAATGCCCGATCGACGTGGTAAGAATATTTTTTATCACTAAAACTTTATTCATAGTTTAAGAACATTTATTTCTATATTTCTATAGGTAAATCAGAGAAAAGAAGACAAACTAGAGAACAGAATAAGCATAATTCCGAACGAAAAGAAAGAAGTATAAGATTTTTATCACTAATTTTGTCTATTTTATTATTTTTTTTCCAAAAGATAACGATGATCGAATAAATTCAATCGATTGGTCACTCATAGATTATGATGATGAGAATGACTTTGATGAGTGCCTTTCTGATGATTATGGAATATCAAATAAATCTACAACAAGTAAAAGTCAACGTACTATTACCATTCGGAATTATCAACACAATATCACAACAAAATCATCTGTAGAGACAAAGACGTAAGTTAGAAGTGCTTTGAGATATAAAACGTTAATTATGTGGTTTCTACTTATTTTCAGTAGTAAATATACTGATGAACATTGTTTCCATGATCGTCAACCACCTAGTCGAATCTTTAAGTAAATATTTTAATCAAAATAGACATTAACTATTCTTTTGTGTAGTATCTTTCCTAATATGAAATCCAAAATTGAAGTAATGAAACTTTTGAAAGGAATTCAAGATGAAGAAGAACGTTATTGTCAGCCAAAAGACGAATATGGAAATAGAACAACAACGAAAATACTGAATCCATTTCCTCGGGAACCTATTATTGAACATTTTAAACGAGGTTAGATGAATTTTTTTTCTCAATTTATTTCTATCCATTATATCTAGTGGATTATGCGAATTTTGATACAAAAGATGGAAAACAAATACTAAAATACTTAGAAAAACCAATTTTAAGAACATTCCAATATGGTGTTTTACTGTTCAATTCAGAAAAACAAGTAAACTTCAACAATTATTTCATAGTTCTTCACAAAGATTGCATTAAATTATCGTTTTTAGATCTTCGTTGTTCAAAATCATGATGGCATTTGGAATGCTCCAATGAGTTATCGAAAAATTAATCAAAATTTTCAGTTGGAAACAATTAACGAAACCGTTTCTCGTGCATTCAATAAACAAATCTGTGCTAAACATCAACTAACCGACGAAATATTTGAATTTTATGATCTACAAGATCAACAACATTTGAATTCACATAAATATATTGAAAATGATCAAACTGAACTGATTGGATTATTTATCAGTGAATTTGATGATCCTATCATTGAATTTGAATTACGTGATACATATGTAAATCAAGTAAGTTCATTCGATTGAAAGATATTCATATATATATCTGCTGATTTTTTGAGGCATGTCAATGGATCTCAATAGATGATGTTATCAAACATGTGCCGGAAAATCAACTTGATATATATGGCACTCTTCGATCATTTGTAGAGTATGTTTAATATCTATTCTAATGGTTGTTGAAAGAATCTTAGATTTTAATAGACATATTCAACGTGATACAGATTTGAATAAAACAAATTCGAACAATGATGTAAGCGCTACTATTACTACTTTGAATATAAATACAGGTATTTTATATGTTTTTTTTATGCGTCTACTATATATTTTTTCTTAGCTCCACTAAAAAGATTTTTATCAATTCGTGATGCAATTTTTGATCGTGCTCAACAATGTCTTCAATTCGAAAATGAATATAATCAAGCTTTGGATGAAAATCTCTCTGGTACATTACTTAATAATTATGCACCTAAAATTCTCGGATCATCCAATTTTAAGTTACATGTTCATGAAGATCATCTAAACATCTATCAATATGAAAAATGTATCTTAGAAAAACTTCAAATTCCATATTACAATCAACCAAAACTAAATTCAATGTTTCCACATCGGATACATAATGGAGTTATTCCTCAAGCAAGAAAGACTTCTATTCTACCTATTCTAATCATGGCTCAACGTTTTAAAATTGATATTCATAAATATGATATCATATGTGAAAGAAATTCATTGAGAAATATTGCTATGAATGAAAACCCATATGTAATGGGTGTGAAAAAAATTGGTAAAACATTATTTCTTAGACGCCATGATAAACGATTTGTAGATAAAAATCAAGCTGGATATCGATTTGAACAGATGTGCATACGTGGATACAATAGTAGTACTTGTTTTAAACAATTAGTTGAAGGAAATATTGGTACTTTTAAAACATTAATAACTGCAGAAACTGATGCAATTGATGAACAAACTCACCAAGCAATCGAACTGAAAAGTCGATATAATACTATTGATATTTATGATCAAGAAGATAGCTGGTTACAAACATTTCTCAGTAAGTTTACGGAAATCTTGACATCGTTTCGAAAATATAATTTATTCTAGGTGATACAAAGACAATCATTGTTGGTAAACGTACAAGTGAAGAACCGCCGCGACTTGTGAATCTTCATGAATATAATGTTTCAAGTATTAGTGATGATACAGTTAAAAACAAAATTCTTCTACATCTCTATCGAGTATTAGATTTTCTTCAGCAAAATGTTAAACAAGATGGAATTTATTTACTTTCTCGTCATTATGATCCAAATCTTGAGAATCATAATTTATATCTTTATAAAGTAGCTGAACAAGATGAACAAGAATTGACATTTATTACACAACAGATACTTGCTCAATTAGGTTTCAGATTTTAGATTATACTATAATAACATTTATACAATATTTGTAAATATAAATCGAACTCAACGATATACTGAATAAATAAAATGACTTTTTTTCACAAGGGTTTCTATACAGAACAAGCTTTTATATAGATAAAAATTAATTTAGCAATAAAGGAAAATACCAAGTGCTAGGTGAATGCAATATTCATAGCCTCATCACACTCCATGTCGAATATTAACCAATGCATCGAAATCGAATAAAACAACGACGACCCATACGTTTCAATGCATGACGATAAACTGAACCTGTCAATGTATAAAGATAAAATGAAGTTGAATGTGTAATACAAATAAGAAGTACAATTAATGAATAAATTAGATTTTCAATTGCGACACGATATGAACTTTTTGTAACATCAGATGTTAAACTCGCATAAGCTCGATAAATTCCAAATGGCAAATCTAAAACAAGAACAACAAATACCTAAAGAAACAATTCAATTAAATATCTATAGATACAAAAGGAATTGTTTTTTTTTTACTTGAATCAATACCATTCGAGTAAGATTTCGATCATTGAGTCGTATTAACAATCGACTATTGATACAATTTTGAACACTTCTCACAGGATAAACAACTCTCGATCGAATATTTCGAATTGTTAACAAACCAAATATTGCTAAACAAATACTTGGTAGAATTATATCAAATAATAAAGCAGCCCAATCATTATATAATCGACAAGGAATATTTCGTCCATAACAAAGAACAGGAACATTTGGAATACTTCCTTCAAAACAATAAACAACTTCAATAAATAATAAGAGAAATAAAACAAATATTCCAAGAATAAAACGTTTTGCCATTTGATTTGTACTGAATTGACGCAATGTCATTGAGGAATGACTACAAAAATATCGATCAATATTTGCACCAACAAGACACCAAATACCCATTGGCCAAGTAACGTTGAGAAATAGTTGACGAATTTTACAAGCAATATCATTTTCATTTGGCCAATTGACATTATAACTAAAAGTTAATTTCAATGATAGATTTTCTTTTATAAAGAAATGAAAGAACGAACCCTTGTAAAACTCGAGTTAGAAATCCTGACCAAATGAAGATCAAACTTGTGATTGATGACCATGAAAGATAAATTGAACAAGGATTTTGTTGAAATGAACGTTCAGTTAACACACAAATATTAAGAAGATTGCCAATAGTTCCAAATAAAAGTAATAAGGCAGCTGCATGACGATTGATTTGCATTGTTGCATAGTTAAGAGAAGAAATGAAATCAAGGTCGGGTGACATTTTTTTCTAATGAACCAATCTTATTCGAAGAATATTTTACTTAATTTTCATATAGAAAAGATTAATGAAATCATTTTTAGCACGAGAGCACAATTAGAGTGGATTGCGCAGAATGATTATGCAGCTGCCGACAAAGAATCTTTGAAAAGTGAGTGTTACTTTTTCCATTTCTTCTATCGTTTCTTAAGAACGTTTTTATTCCACTTTCTTGAGATTAATGAGAAAAATTTTCATCGTTATTCACTTCAAAAGAAATAAACATCAACATAATTATTAGGTACAAATGATGTGACTAAATTTAGATGTATTACCAATAGTATTAATGAAGCGTATTTTTATCCTCAGGAAAAATAAGTAAGAATGAATTGATCATGGTGATAGATCAAAATCTTTAAATTGTTCTTTGATAATATTATCTTTTGTAAATTTATATCGATGAATAAACGACAGATATCTTGCAGAGAATGTAAGTATTCTGCTCCAATAACACCTTTCGCTCTTCCATTTTAGTTAGTAGAAATAGATAAGCCAATAAACTGTGAAAAGAGATGATCTAAATCTATCTGAAACACGCATGCATCCGTTTATTTGGACCCACCAGCAAAAGATGGGTTATTGGATGAATGGCGGTGTCACAAATACATTTCTGTCTTTATTTAAACTCATATTCAGTAAATAAAAAATTATCCTCATTTATGGATGTTGCCGAAGGAGACAATTCTGATATGTTTTTTTTATAAATGCTACCCGACAGCTAGTTCGTGTGCAAGACGGTAAACATGCGCAATGGGTTTTATTTCGTCATGGTTCATTGTTTATTCAAACAATGCCAAATAATGAAGAAACACCGACGGATGAATTAATCAATAAAGCTGAGGAAAGTTTGGCAAAATTTATTATTGCACCTGGTACCGTCTTTGGTGATGCAACTATTTATAATTTTGATTATGAAAATAAGAAGAATTATTTCATTTGTTTATATGAATTTCCTGATGTAATATTGATTCATCCATCGAAACAAGTTATATAGGGCATCTTGGCAATGCAGTGTGGTCGAACAAATGTTTTAAATGATAAAGAAAATCCAATTATTATGTTTTTTTATTGATCGCTGTCAGTAACTTTGTTGTATATGAGTGTATCTCTTTTCCACTTACATCTATATCCTTACCTACAGCTGATCGAAAAAAGTACGGATGTTATCTATTTATTGTATTTTTAAAAATAAACTAACTTTCGATTATTCTGATCAAACATTCTTAAGTTTGACATCCGATATTCATACGAATTGGTACTAAAATATTGTCAAATATTGATATCATATTTGAATATAAAATCTTTGCGAACACT